GAAGATTACTAAGGACTTCATTTCATCGGAATTAATGAAGTGGGTTCGTATGCTTCAGGCCCTGGTTCGTCTTCTTCAGGTCCTGGTCCAGTAATTGAAACAAATGAAGGGAAGGGCATTTTGGGAAAGTTTCCTGTTTCGCAAGTTGCTTCAGTTAATTCAGGTATTCCGGTGGTCTTTAATGCTAATCCTATTGACTCAATTAGTTGTAATACTAATTGTAATGATGAAGATATGAAAGATTCTATTAATGAGAATGGGAATTTGGAAGTTGGTTATGGTAATAATATGAAGAAAGAACAGGGAGCTAATTTCTTGAATATGGATTTTTCGAAACCTGTCCTCTCCCCTGCAGCTAAGTTGGTTAATGAGTTCAATAAAAAATCTTATGCTCGTATGGTTGAATCAACAAATAATGTGGTGGATCTTAATATCAAAGTTATTCCAAAAGTTGATGGGAAACCTAGTGGGAAAGTTGAGTTACCTTATGCAGATTTAATGTTGGGTGGTGCTCCTTATCATGCTACTTTGTATGGATTTTTTGTGGGGAAAAAGCTTGCTTTCCCAACAGTTAATCATTTTTCTTTTAAGATGTGGAAGATGTATGGGCTGAAGGATATAATGGTGAATGATGAGGGATTTTTTTTCTTCAAGTTTGATTCAAAAGAAGGAATGATGAGTGTGCTGGAGGGAGGTCCATGGTTGATTAACAATGTCCCAATGTTTGTTCAAAGATGGAGGCCAGGTCTAGTTTTGAGTAAACCGCAAATTAATTCAGTTCCTGTATGGGTTAAAGTGTTTAATGTTCCTTTGGAGTATTGGAACAGCAAAGGAATTACGTTGATTGCAAATGAGATTGGGAAACCAATTGCTATGGATAAAATCACTCAAAAAATGTGTAATGAGCACTGGGGAAGGCCAGCTTTCATGCGATTTCTTGTGGAAATGTCAGCAGAATCGGAATGGATGAAAGAATTAAGTGTCGTCTCAATAGATTTTGGGACAGGAGAGAAAGTTGAATCAAAGTGCAGGATAGAGTATGCATGGAGACCTGATATTTGTAGTCATTGCAAAATTTACGGACATAAAAATAACAATTGTGGGATTCTAAATGGAAAAAAGAATGATGGTGTTACTGATGTTGCTGTTGACAGAGAAGAAAATGGGAGAAAAGAGAAAGTGGATGATGATGGGTTCATATTAGTAACAAAGAAAAACAATAAAGGGCAGAAATTTAATACCGGAGTGGTTATTAATGAAGAAGGGAAGTGGATTTAATCAAATCATTGGAGAAAAGCACCAAACCTGTTTTTGAAGGAATGGTTGTTAGCAATAATGATGAAAGTCTTAAGGATGAGGGTAATCAAGGAATGGAAAAAGCAAAAAAATTAAAGAACAAGAAAATCAAAAAGGAGGCCAAAATGAAGATCGAAGCAATGAAGGGGTAGAAAATCGGAAGAATGGGGGTAATTTCTCAAATTTGCTGTGGGTAATCTAAAAAAAGATGGGAAAGAGAAAGGGGTATTTCAGTCAAAAGATGATAAAAGTGGGAGAAAGAATGGGACAGGGGTGTTCATTCCAAAAGAGAAATTAGGAACAAGAGTGAAGAATGTAATTGAAAACTTTAATGCTAAAAAAGATGGAATGCAGGGGAAAAGAGAAGAAAATCAGAAAAAAGTGTATGTTCCTAAGAAGCAAGTGGAGTTAAAAGTGAGTTCTAATTTTGATAATTTAGGTTCTACGTCAGGAAAAATTGATCAAGATGAAATTACAACACAAAACCCATTTGATGTTCTTGCTGATTTGGGTTTAAGAGATATGTCTTATCTTGATGAGATGGATTCGGAGATTTTAACTGGAGGTGGCCAGGAGATAAGCACCGAAAATAAAATTGGTGATTAATGATGATGAATATAGGGTGTTGGAACGTGAGGGGTTCGAATTTAAGACCAAAACAGGAAGAAATAAAAAATGTGATAAGAAGTAATAAGTTGTCGTTGTTTGCTATTCTTGAATCTCAGTTGAGATTTAATAAGTTACAAGCGACTTGTAATAATGTTTTTGGAGCTGGATGTGGATTTCGAATCAAGACATGAGCCCTAAAGGCACTCGCATTATAATTGGATGGGACCCAAATGAAGTTATTGTCATGCCTTTGGATGCTAATAGTCAAGTGATGCATTGTCAAGTCATATTTATCAAGGAGAATAAGAGGTTGTTTTGTTCTTTTGTTTATGGCTGCAATTATTATATAGACAGAAGAAAACTTTGGGATTCATTGGGAAAGCATTATAATTTGGTTGCTGGTCAACCATGGTTGATTGCTGGAGATTTTAATGTTACCAGGGAACTTGTGGATACGATGGCTGGTCATTCTAAAATTTCGAGGGGTATGGTAGAATTTAATGAGTGCATTAATTCTATTGAAGTCCAAGATATAAATAGTAATGGATTGCACTACACATGGAATCAAAGACCACGTGGGGCTTTTGGGGCTTTGAAAAAACTTGATCGTGTGCTTGGGAACCATAAACTGATTGAAGATTTTCCGAATGTGTTTGCTAACTTTCAGCCTTATCGGATTTCAGATCATAGCCCTATGATTATCAAATTCCCAATTAAAAGAAAGTTCAGGGTCAGACCGTTCAAGTTTGTTAATTCTCTTGTGCTGCTGGATAATTTTCTGCCCATTGTTGAAAGTGTTTGGAAGACGGATGTTGAAGGATTTGGTATGTTTAGGCTTTGTCAGAAATTAAAGCTTTTAAAGAAACCTCTCAGGAAACTGTTAACTAGTCATGGCAATTTTGCTGAGAAAGTTTCTAAATGCAGAGAAGAATTATGTAGGGTCCAGGAAAGTCTTGATTTGGACCCATGCAATGAAGAGCTGAGATTTGAAGAAGGAATATACCTGCAATCTTTCTTGAATGCTAGCAGGGAAGAGGAGAGTTATTTAAAACAAAGAGCTAAAGTGCATTGGCTTAAGGAGGGAGATTCAAATTCTGCTTACTTTCATAAGGTTGTGAAGGGTAAAATAAACAGAAACAGAATTGAAACAATCCTTGATGGAAATGGAAATTGGAAGGAAGGGGATGAAGCTTTTAAGGTCATTGTGGATTATTTTGGTGAATTTCTTGGAGTTGAACATGGTGTTGTTCCCATTATTAGACCGGAAGATCTTGATTTCAGGAAACTTGACATTCAACAAGCTGTGGATATGATCAAAGATGTTACTGATGAGGAAATTAAGGCTGCCCTCTTTGATATTGATGATGACAAAGCGCCTGGCCCTGATGGTTTTTCTTCTAAATTCTTTAAGAAAGCTTGGATGATAGTGGGGAGTGATTTTTGCTTTGCTGTTAAAGAATTTTTTATCTCAAAAAAGATATTGAAGGAAGTTAATGCTACTGTTATTGCGTTAGTTCCTAAAGTTCAGACACCAGGCAAGGTTGGGGACTATCGGCCAATATCCTGTTGCAATGTGATCTATAAATGCATTAGCAAAGTTATTGTCAACCGCATTAGAGATCATCTTGGATGCTTGGTTTCGGATAATCAATCGGCTTTTATTCCAGGGCGTTCAATATTGGATAATATTTTGTTATCTCAAGAACTTGTCAGAGGGTATCATATTAATAGGGGCTTTGCTAGGTGTGCTATGAAAGTTGATATTCAAAAAGCGTATGATACAGTTAATTGGTGTTTTTTACGGAACATATTGAAAGAGTTTGGATTTCATGAATTTATGATAACTTGGATTATGAATTGTGTTACTACTTCCTCTTTTATGATCAATATAAATGGAAGTTTTCATGGGTTTTTCCAAGGAAAGAGAGGCCTCAGACAAGGTTGCCCTTTATCTCCTTACCTCTTCACACTTGTTATGGAGGTGTTTAATTTAATGCTTAAAAGGAGAATAAAGGAATGTAGAGATTTTAAATACCATTGGAGATGTAAAGAACAGGAGCTTACCCATTTATGTTTTGCTGATGACCTGATGGTTTTTTGTCACGGAAATTCTGAATCTATAAAAGTGATCAAGAAGACGATGGATGAATTTGCAAATGCTGCGGGTCTTGTGCCAAACCTTGCTAAAAGCCACATATTTTTTGGGAATGTTAAGGGGCCGTTTAAAAGGAAAATTTTGAGGATCCTCCCGTTTGTTGAAGGGAAATTGCCCATGAAGTATCTTGGTATTCCTTTGGTGTCTACTAAGTTATTTATTAGAGACTGCAAGGGTCTTGTTGATAAAGTGAAGCGTAAAGTTAATGATTGGAAGAATAAGTCTCTATCTTACGCGGGTAGACTCCAATTAATTAGTGCTGTGCTTTCGTCTATCCCTGTGTATTGGGCTTCAGCTGTGTTATTACCAAAGGGCATCACTAAAGAAATTGAAAAAATTATGAGGAATTTCCTTTGGAATAGTGGTCAAAATGGAAAGGGAGTTGCTAAGGTGTCTTGGATTGAAATTTGCAAACCTAAGGTTTATGGCGGTCTTGGGTTAAAAAATCTTAATGATTGGAACATTGCCCTTCTTTCCAGCAGAATTTGGAATATCATAAGTGGGAAGAACTCTTTATGGGTCAAATGGGTTAAGTTCTATCTTCTCGAAGGGAGAAGCTTCTGGGAAGTGGGTTTAAAAGACAAAGTAAGCTGGAGTTGGAGAAACTTAATGAAAATTCGACCTTGTGTTCGGGATTTTTTTGTTAGTCAGCTTGGAAATGGAAAGGATACAAACATGTGGTTTGATAACTGGCACCAATTGTGTCCTTTGGGTTATGTTCTTTCGCATAGGGAAATTACTAATGCTGGATATAACATAAGGGATACAGTTAGTGATGTTATTGGTGAAGGGAACTGGAGCTGGCCTGCTGAATGGCTTGAAATGATCCCTCAGTTAAGTGATTTTCTTATGCCAAGACTTGTTGCAGAGAAAAAGGATGAGGTTCATTGGAGGAATCATAAAGGTACAATTGTCCCATTTGCAGTTAATCAGGTTTCTTCTTCTCTTATTTGCCATGAGTCAACTGTCAAATGGTATCACCTGGTTTGGTTCCAAAACAGAATCCCAAGTCATTGTTTTATACTTTGGCTTGCTATTCTGGGAAGGCTTAGAACGCAGGACAGAATGAAGAAATGGAAAGATTCTAATGAGTTTAGCTGTGTTTTTTGCAAATCTCAATTGGATTCTCATTCTCATCTATTTTTTTATTGTAATTTCTCCAAAGATGTTTGGAAGCTGATGAAAAATAAGGTGGAAATAAAGCATAATACTGGCAATTGGTTTGAAATTATTGTTGAACTTCAAGATTTGCTAAAAAAGAAAAATATTAATAACTTCATTAAAAAAATAGCTTTGGCGGCTTCTGTTTATCATATATGGAATGAAAGGAATAAAAGGTTGTTTGGGAAACAGAGCAATTCAGTGGATAATGTGGTTAAATTTATCACAGAAGACATTCGACTGAAGATGTCTAGCCTTAAATTGGGTTATCTTGGGCTTAATGCAGAAATTTGCAAGCAGTGGAATGTCTCAGTTAAAAATGAAGATTATGTCCATGAAAGAAGAAATTAAGTTGAGAAGAGGGTTATGCGTTAATGTGGTAGGGTGGCTGAATTGGAATTGGAGGCAGGAAAGAAATTATGGAATGCGATTGGTGGAAATAACGAAGATTGAAAATAAAAACGGAATTTCAAACTTTTTGGTCAAAGGGCATTTTCGTCAAGGGTGGAATTTTAATAAATTGGATGAATTAATAGAGTTTGGCTTGAGTATTAAAGATTTCGACTGTATATCTGATTGGAAGGATCGGAAGGAGGTGAAATTGAAGAATAAAAACCGCAATTGTTTAATTCTTGAACAGGGGCTGTTTGGGTATCGGATTGATAAAGGAGCGACAGGGCTGTTTCATATTTTTGGTGATAATTTCAATTACTCAGGATGGAATAAGTGCATGCGAGTTAGTGGTTTTTATCACAAAGAAGGGAAAGATTTAAACAGGGACAGATTGCGATTCATTTTAATTGACTGTGAAGATGGAATTTGGGAGGTAGGGTATTTCGGTAATTATGATTCATGTTGGTTCTTCAGTATGTCTAGAAATATGTATGGGAGAGAGGATAAAAGGAAGGATTTTAACAACAAAGAGAGTATAAGGAAATGGATTAAAGGGTATATTAGGCAAAATTGGAAGGAAAATAAAAAGGATCATCTTTTTGTGAATTGCTTGATCGTTTTTGTGTATGGCTTTTTAATTTTTTTGGAGGATTGGATGAAGATTGATCTGAAGAATAAAGGGATGATGGATAATTTTGTGTTCCAGGTTGTTAGTCGCAGGGCTGGTTGGTTGGAAAACAATATTCTCTATTATGATTGTTATTATTTGGTGGAAAGTATAAAGGAATGGGGGTATTTTGGGCATAGTTTAATTGTTGGTGGAGATGGAAATTGGAGGGAGTTGGTTGTGGATAGGAGTAAGGGTAATATTGGAAATCTTAATTGGGTTGAAGACTTATTGAATTTTGGCTGCGTTATCATTTATGAAAGAAGATGGGGTGAAGGGCAATATGGTCAAACTTATGTGTTGAGTTTTTTCTGTTGTTATTTGGTGAAATTTTTTGGAGTTTGGATAGGGTCAATAAAAAGAAGAAGAAAAGAGATCAAATTAAAATGATTGATTTGAGATGTAACAGAAAAATGATTCTTATGTTGATCAAAGGGCAAAAGTGGAATTATTGGAGATGGGTGAATTCTGGTTTCTATGAAGGAGTTTATGTCCAATATTTTTACAAAGGAATTGACGGTAATGGGATTTTTACCAATTTTTCCCTTAAAATTGGATTGCAATTTGGTTTAATCCCAAGTATCATTTGGGTCATACCTTATGATGTGGCTACTTCCCATCATTATATGGAATTTATTTTCATTTATTGGGAAATCCCGCCTTGGAAACAAGGTGTGTATTTTCGAGGAATTGACGGATTTGGGAGTTTTATCATTTTTTCCCTTAAAAATGAATTGCATCTCGGTTTGATCCCGAGTTTCATAAGAATTTTTTCTTGTGAAGTGGAATTTAAAAAAGTGCATATGGGTAATATCCCCATAAGTTGTGTTTTTTATCCTATTCATTTAGGATTCTCCACAATTGTGGGTGCCACTACTGGTTCGATCAGTAAGTGGTGGGATATTCACCCGTCAATAACCAGGCTTGGGTACGTCATCCTTAGACTGTACCACCAATTTTTTGGCATTTTTTGGGTAACAAAATGTCACTCTTTGTCCGGTTCAAATCCGGAAACTTTAGTTGGTTGGTTTTCCCTCTTTTTCCATAAAAAGAATAAAAATCTTGGTTCAAGTCCAAGTAGTATAGTCATGTGGTTTGCCCCATTTTTCCAAAAATGGATGTTCTTTACCGGTTCAAATCCGGACTATTTAGTTGGCTGGTTTTTCTTCTTTTTCCATAAAAAGAACTTAAATCTTGGTTCAATTCCAAGTAGTTTAGTCATGTGGTTGGCCCCTTTTTTCCAAAAAAGGATGAATTTATCCGGTTCAAATCCGGGAATTATAGTTTGGTTTTCTAACTTTTTCCGTAAAAAGTTCAAAAATCTTGGTTCAATTCCAAGTAATTTAGTGGGTGGGTTTTATGATTTTATCCATAAAAAATCAAGAGATGGGATTTGTGTTAAAAGAGCATGGGTGATGATGGTTGATGAAGACAATTGGAATGGAATGTTGGAAAAGCGTTATAATCAAAGAAGGTCGGTTGAAGAGAAAAAGAATAGGAAGATTGTGAATAAAGATAATAGAGAGGATGATAATTTGGCTTGTTATAGCAACATACTTTTGAGGTACATAAAAGATAATAAAGATACAAGGGAGAAGAAGAGAAAGAAGATTGCTATTTTGGAGTCTTTTGGCAATGGGAAGGTAGAAACTATGTGCATTTTTGTGTGGAGATTTTGGGATATTGGTGTTCATAGGACTAGTGTTATTATTGACACTTGGATAAGGAGCATGTATAGAGATGGCATTTTTGAAGATTGGAAGAAGAAATGGAGTATTCACTTCGAGTACGAGCGGGAAATTGAAGACCACTCCGGGTTGTGGAGTTGGAATAGAATAATTTGTACTTTCTTTGTTTATATTGTCATTAGGGTTAGCATTTGGTTTTGGTATCTTAGAGATATTTGGATTTTGGTCTTGTTTGGGGTCATTTTTGGGGTTTGTCCAAAAATGACATAACTCTTGTTTTTTTTTTTCGTGTTTATAAAATCTTTGCCGGGGCTTCGGCCTCTTTCCCAAAAAAAAAACCCTAAAACCTAAACCCTAAACCCTAAACCCTAAACCCTAAACCCTAAACCCAAAACCCAAGTCATTTGCTAAAATTTTTTCTCTCTAACTTTCTCTCTCTAGGATTTTCTCTCTCGGTTTTCCAGTTTTGGTGAGTGGCTTGGTTGGGATTCTGGTGATCGGATCTCTTGCCGGTGCCGGAATTTCATCATCGTTGATTGAATTTACTCTAAAATCAATTCCAATTGTCTATACGATTGGTGATCGGATGTTCTGGAAAATTGGAAGTATGTTTGGCATGAATTATAAAGATCCACCTGATCCAGCTAACAAAAATCTATATGAAGATGATCTGGAAGCTGATGTTGGAGCTAAACGAAGAGGAAGAAGAGCTATGCACAAGGAATTTTCTCCGTATTCAATGATTAAACCATTACGATCAAAAGAAAAAATGGAAGCTAAAATTAATCGGTTAAGGGAAGAAAAGAAGTATCTGAATGCGAAATCTATTGCTGATGGATCGAAAGAAGTTCTTCGAGCTGGAGTACGTGAAATAATAAAATCAAATTATGGGAAAGAAAATATAGATCCGCAATTTATAAAATCGGAGTTGGAGGCATTTGATAAGGTGATCGCTAATCAGAAAAAATTGGAAGAAGAAAAAGGATTTGTGTTGCTCCAGGTAACCTCAGATATGGTTAAGGGATATAATTCTTCTAAGAATTTGGTGGGTGGATCATCTCCTTCGTCTCCTGTTATTCAAGCGAACATGGGAATGGATGCTGGAACTGTAGCTGGGTCGAACAATAGAATTTCAGCTGGAACAAAAAATGACAAAGGCATTTTGGTTGATGAGCCGAAGATTACTAAGGACTTCATTTCATCGGAATTAATGAAGATGGGTTCGTATGCTTCAGGCCCTGGTTCGTCTTCTTCAGGTCCTGGTCCAGTAATTGAAACAAATGAAGGGAAGGGCATTTTGGGAAAGTTTCCTGTTTCGCAAGTTGCTTCAGTTAATTCAGGTATTCCGGTGGTCTTTAATGCTAATCCTATTGACTCAATTAGTTGTAATACTAATTGTAATGATGAAGATATGAAAGATTCTATTAATGAGAATGGGAATTTGGAAGTTGGTTATGGTAATAATATGAAGAAAGAACAGGGAGCTAATTTCTTGAATATGGATTTTTCGAAACCTGTCCTCTCCCCTGCAGCTAAGTTGGTTAATGAGTTCAATAAAAAATCTTATGCTCGTATGGTTGAATCAACAAATAATGTGGTGGATCTTAATATCAAAGTTATTCCAAAAGTTGATGGGAAACCTAGTGGGAAAGTTGAGTTACCTTATGCAGATTTAATGTTGGGTGGTGCTCCTTATCATGCTACTTTGTATGGATTTTTTGTGGGGAAAAAGCTTGCTTTCCCAACAGTTAATCATTTTTCTTTTAAGATGTGGAAGATGTATGGGCTGAAGGATATAATGGTGAATGATGAGGGATTTTTTTTCTTCAAGTTTGATTCAAAAGAAGGAATGATGAGTGTGCTGGAGGGAGGTCCATGGTTGATTAACAATGTCCCAATGTTTGTTCAAAGATGGAGGCCAGGTCTAGTTTTGAGTAAACCGCAAATTAATTCAGTTCCTGTATGGGTTAAAGTGTTTAATGTTCCTTTGGAGTATTGGAACAGCAAAGGAATTACGTTGATTGCAAATGAGATTGGGAAACCAATTGCTATGGATAAAATCACTCAAAAAATGTGTAATGAGCACTGGGGAAGGCCAGCTTTCATGCGATTTCTTGTGGAAATGTCAGCAGAATCGGAATGGATGAAAGAATTAAGTGTCGTCTCAATAGATTTTGGGACAGGAGAGAAAGTTGAATCAAAGTGTAGGATAGAGTATGCATGGAGACCTGATATTTGTAGTCATTGCAAAATTTACGGACATAAAAATAACAATTGTGGGATTCTAAATGGAAAAAAGAATGATGGTGTTACTGATGTTGCTGTTGACAGAGAAGAAAATGGGAGAAAAGAGAAAGTGGATGATGATGGGTTCATATTAGTAACAAAGAAAAACAATAAAGGGCAGAAATTTAATACCGGAGTGGTTATTAATGAAGAAGGGAAAGTGGATTTAATCAAATCATTGGAGAAAAGCACCAAACCTGTTTTTGAAGGAATGGTTGTTAGCAATAATGATGAAAGTCTTAAGGATGAGGGTAATCAAGGAATGGAAAAAAGCAAAAAAATTAAAGAACAAGAAAATCAAAAAGGAGGCCAAAATGAAGATCGAAGCAATGAAGGGGTAGAAAATCGGAAGAATGGGGGTAATTTCTCAAAATTTGCTGTGGGTAATCTAAAAAAAGATGGGAAAGAGAAAGGGGTATTTCAGTCAAAAGATGATAAAAGTGGGAGAAAGAATGGGACAGGGGTGTTCATTCCAAAAGAGAAATTAGGAACAAGAGTGAAGAATGTAATTGAAAACTTTAATGCTAAAAAAGATGGAATGCAGGGGAAAAGAGAAGAAAATCAGAAAAAAGTGTATGTTCCTAAGAAGCAAGTGGAGTTAAAAGTGAGTTCTAATTTTGATAATTTAGGTTCTACGTCAGGAAAAATTGATCAAGATGAAATTACAACACAAAACCCATTTGATGTTCTTGCTGATTTGGGTTTAAGAGATATGTCTTATCTTGATGAGATGGATTCGGAGATTTTAACTGGAGGTGGCCAGGAGATAAGCACCGAAAATAAAATTGGTGATTAATGATGATGAATATAGGGTGTTGGAACGTGAGGGGTTCGAATTTAAGACCAAAACAGGAAGAAATAAAAAATGTGATAAGAAGTAATAAGTTGTCGTTGTTTGCTATTCTTGAATCTCAGTTGAGATTTAATAAGTTACAAGCGACTTGTAATAATGTTTTTGGGAGCTGGATGTGGATTTCGAATCAAGACATGAGCCCTAAAGGCACTCGCATTATAATTGGATGGGACCCAAATGAAGTTATTGTCATGCCTTTGGATGCTAATAGTCAAGTGATGCATTGTCAAGTCATATTTATCAAGGAGAATAAGAGGTTGTTTTGTTCTTTTGTTTATGGCTGCAATTATTATATAGACAGAAGAAAACTTTGGGATTCATTGGGAAAGCATTATAATTTGGTTGCTGGTCAACCATGGTTGATTGCTGGAGATTTTAATGTTACCAGGGAACTTGTGGATACGATGGCTGGTCATTCTAAAATTTCGAGGGGTATGGTAGAATTTAATGAGTGCATTAATTCTATTGAAGTCCAAGATATAAATAGTAATGGATTGCACTACACATGGAATCAAAGACCACGTGGGGCTTTTGGGGCTTTGAAAAAACTTGATCGTGTGCTTGGGAACCATAAACTGATTGAAGATTTTCCGAATGTGTTTGCTAACTTTCAGCCTTATTGGATTTCAGATCATAGCCCTATGATTATCAAATTCCCAATTAAAAGAAAGTTCAGGGTCAGACCGTTCAAGTTTGTTAATTCTCTTGTGCTGCTGGATAATTTTCTGCCCATTGTTGAAAGTGTTTGGAAGACGGATGTTGAAGGATTTGGTATGTTTAGGCTTTGTCAGAAATTAAAGCTTTTAAAGAAACCTCTCAGGAAACTGTTAACTAGTCATGGCAATTTTGCTGAGAAAGTTTCTAAATGCAGAGAAGAATTATGTAGGGTCCAGGAAAGTCTTGATTTGGACCCATGCAATGAAGAGCTGAGATTTGAAGAAGGAATATACCTGCAATCTTTCTTGAATGCTAGCAGGGAAGAGGAGAGTTATTTAAAACAAAGAGCTAAAGTGCATTGGCTTAAGGAGGGAGATTCAAATTCTGCTTACTTTCATAAGGTTGTGAAGGGTAAAATAAACAGAAACAGAATTGAAACAATCCTTGATGGAAATGGAAATTGGAAGGAAGGGGATGAAGCTTTTAAGGTCATTGTGGATTATTTTGGTGAATTTCTTGGAGTTGAACATGGTGTTGTTCCCATTATTAGACCGGAAGATCTTGATTTCAGGAAACTTGACATTCAACAAGCTGTGGATATGATCAAAGATGTTACTGATGAGGAAATTAAGGCTGCCCTCTTTGATATTGATGATGACAAAGCGCCTGGCCCTGATGGTTTTTCTTCTAAATTCTTTAAGAAAGCTTGGATGATAGTGGGGAGTGATTTTTGCTTTGCTGTTAAAGAATTTTTTATCTCAAAAAAGATATTGAAGGAAGTTAATGCTACTGTTATTGCGTTAGTTCCTAAAGTTCAGACACCAGGCAAGGTTGGGGACTATCGGCCAATATCCTGTTGCAATGTGATCTATAAATGCATTAGCAAAGTTATTGTCAACCGCATTAGAGATCATCTTGGATGCTTGGTTTCGGATAATCAATCGGCTTTTATTCCAGGGCGTTCAATATTGGATAATATTTTGTTATCTCAAGAACTTGTCAGAGGGTATCATATTAATAGGGGCTTTGCTAGGTGTGCTATGAAAGTTGATATTCAAAAAGCGTATGATACAGTTAATTGGTGTTTTTTACGGAACATATTGAAAGAGTTTGGATTTCATGAATTTATGATAACTTGGATTATGAATTGTGTTACTACTTCCTCTTTTATGATCAATATAAATGGAAGTTTTCATGGGTTTTTCCAAGGAAAGAGAGGCCTCAGACAAGGTTGCCCTTTATCTCCTTACCTCTTCACACTTGTTATGGAGGTGTTTAATTTAATGCTTAAAAGGAGAATAAAGGAATGTAGAGATTTTAAATACCATTGGAGATGTAAAGAACAGGAGCTTACCCATTTATGTTTTGCTGATGACCTGATGGTTTTTTTGTCACGGAAATTCTGAATCTATAAAAGTGATCAAGAAGACGATGGATGAATTTGCAAATGCTGCGGGTCTTGTGCCAAACCTTGCTAAAAGCCACATATTTTTTGGGAATGTTAAGGGGCCGTTTAAAAGGAAAATTTTGAGGATCCTCCCGTTTGTTGAAGGGAAATTGCCCATGAAGTATCTTGGTATTCCTTTGGTGTCTACTAAGTTATTTATTAGAGACTGCAAGGGTCTTGTTGATAAAGTGAAGCGTAAAGTTAATGATTGGAAGAATAAGTCTCTATCTTACGCGGGTAGACTCCAATTAATTAGTGCTGTGCTTTCGTCTATCCCTGTGTATTGGGCTTCAGCTGTGTTATTACCAAAGGGCATCACTAAAGAAATTGAAAAAATTATGAGGAATTTCCTTTGGAATAGTGGTCAAAATGGAAAGGGAGTTGCTAAGGTGTCTTGGATTGAAATTTGCAAACCTAAGGTTTATGGCGGTCTTGGGTTAAAAAATCTTAATGATTGGAACATTGCCCTTCTTTCCAGCAGAATTTGGAATATCATAAGTGGGAAGAACTCTTTATGGGTCAAATGGGTTAAGTTCTATCTTCTCGAAGGGAGAAGCTTCTGGGAAGTGGGTTTAAAAGACAAAGTAAGCTGGAGTTGGAGAAACTTAATGAAAATTCGACCTTGTGTTCGGGATTTTTTTGTTAGTCAGCTTGGAAATGGAAAGGATACAAACATGTGGTTTGATAACTGGCACCAATTGTGTCCTTTGGGTTATGTTCTTTCGCATAGGGAAATTACTAATGCTGGATATAACATAAGGGATACAGTTAGTGATGTTATTGGTGAAGGGAACTGGAGCTGGCCTGCTGAATGGCTTGAAATGATCCCTCAGTTAAGTGATTTTCTTATGCCAAGACTTGTTGCAGAGAAAAAGGATGAGGTTCATTGGAGGAATCATAAAGGTACAATTGTCCCATTTGCAGTTAATCAGGTTTCTTCTTCTCTTATTTGCCATGAGTCAACTGTCAAATGGTATCACCTGGTTTGGTTCCAAAACAGAATCCCAAGTCATTGTTTTATACTTTGGCTTGCTATTCTGGGAAGGCTTAGAACGCAGGACAGAATGAAGAAATGGAAAGATTCTAATGAGTTTAGCTGTGTTTTTTGCAAATCTCAATTGGATTCTCATTCTCATCTATTTTTTTATTGTAATTTCTCCAAAGATGTTTGGAAGCTGATGAAAAATAAGGTGGAAATAAAGCATAATACTGGCAATTGGTTTGAAATTATTGTTGAACTTCAAGATTTGCTAAAAAAAGAAAAATATTAATAACTTCATTAAAAAAATAGCTTTGGCGGCTTCTGTTTATCATATATGGAATGAAAGGAATAAAAGGTTGTTTGGGAAACAGAGCAATTCAGTGGATAATGTGGTTAAATTTATCACAGAAGACATTCGACTGAAGATGTCTAGCCTTAAATTGGGTTATCTTGGGCTTAATGCAGAAATTTGCAAGCAGTGGAATGTCTCAGTTAAAAATGAAGATTATGTCCATGAAAGAAGAAATTAAGTTGAGAAGAGGGTTATGCGTTAATGTGGTAGGGTGGCTGAATTGGAATTGGAGGCAGGAAAGAAATTATGGAATGCGATTGGTGGAAATAACGAAGATTGAAAATTAAAAACGGAATTTCAAACTTTTTGGTCAAAGGGCATTTTCGTCAAGGGTGGAATTTTAATAAATTGGATGAATTAATAGAGTTTGGCTTGAGTATTAAAGATTTCGACTGTATATCTGATTGGAAGGATCGGAAGGAGGTGAAATTGAAGAATAAAAACCGCAATTGTTTAATTCTTGAACAGGGGCTGTTTGGGTATCGGATTGATAAAGGAGCGACAGGGCTGTTTCATATTTTTGGTGATAATTTCAATTACTCAGGATGGAATAAGTGCATGCGAGTTAGTGGTTTTTATCACAAAGAAGGGAAAGATTTAAACAGGGACAGATTGCGATTCATTTTAATTGACTGTGAAGATGGAATTTGGGAGGTAGGGTATTTCGGTAATTATGATTCATGTTGGTTCTTCAGTATGTCTAGAAATATGTATGGGAGAGAGGATAAAAGGAAGGATTTTAACAACAAAGAGAGTATAAGGAAATGGATTAAAGGGTATATTAGGCAAAATTGGAAGGAAAATAAAAAGGATCATCTTTTTGTGAATTGCTTGATCGTTTTTGTGTATGGCTTTTTAATTTTTTTGGAGGATTGGATGAAGATTGATCTGAAGAATAAAGGGATGATGGATAATTTTGTGTTCCAGGTTGTTAGTCGCAGGGCTGGTTGGTTGGAAAACAATATTCTCTATTATGATTGTTATTATTTGGTGGAAAGTATAAAGGAATGGGGGTATTTTGGGCATAGTTTAATGTTGGTGGAGATGGAAATTGGAGGGAGTTGGTTGTGGATAGGAGTAAGGGTAATATTGGAAATCTTAATTGGGTTTGAAGACTTATTGAATTTTGGCTGCGTTATCATTTATGAAAGAAGATGGGGTGAAGGGCAATATGGTCAAACTTATGTGTTGAGTTTTTTCTGTTTATTTGGTGAAAATTTTTTTGGAGTTTGGATAGGGTCAATAAAAAGAAGAAGAAAAGAGATCAAATTAAAATGATTGATTTGAGATGTAACAGAAAATGATTCTTATGTTGATCAAAGGGCAAAGTGGAATTATTGGAATGGGTGAATTCTGGTTTCTATGAAGGAGTTTATGTCCAATATTTTTACAAAGGAATTGACGGTAATGGGATTTTACCAATTTTCCCTTAAAATTGGATTGCAATTTGTTTAATCCCAAGTATCATTTGGGTCATACCTTATGATGTGGCTACTTCCCATCAT